CCTGCCTCTGCCTCCCGAGTGCTGGGATTAAAGGTGTGTGCCACCACAGCTGGCCCTAAAGTATTTTTTAAAGTGATAAAAATCAAAGAAGAGCCAGGCATGGTGGTGCACGCCTGTAGTCCCAGCACTCAGGAGGCAGAGGCAGGCAGATCTCTGTGACTTCAAGGCCAGCCTGGCCTACCTAGTGAGTTCCTGGAAAGCTGGGCTACAGGGAGACCCTTTTTCAAAAAAACCGAAAAAAAAAAAAAAAAAATCAAAGAAGAAACTGTAGAGACAGATCAAGATTTACCCCCTAAAAACGTGCTTTACTAGAGGTTTTCCTGAATTCTCAGTGATGGTTTATTCTTTTCATATTTAAACTGTTCTAGAATACAGAAAAAGAGAGCAATGTTCCCACTTTGTGCAATGGGGCTAATATTCCCTGATATTAAAATTTTAAGCACTAAAATTTAAAATGATATAAAGCTCAAAATGAGCAAGCTTGAGGGTATGACCTGGAGAGCTGACTCAGTGGTTAAGAACACTTGCTGCTCTTCTGGATGACCTGAGTTCCATTCCCAGCACCTATGTTAGACGGCCTGCAATCACCTGTAACTCTGGCCCCAGGGGATTGACACCCTCTTCTGATCTCCTTGGGCACCAGAATACATGTAGCTGCGGTATATACAAACATAGACACAGATACACACAAACATAGACACAGATACACACACACACACACACACACACACACACACACACACAAAGTCATTAAAAAATAAATAGCAGCCAGGCGTGGTGGCGCACGCCTTTAATCCCAGCACTTGGGAGGTAGAGGCAGGCGGATCTCTGTGAGTTCAAGGCCAGCCTGGTCTACATAGTGAATTCCAGGACAGCTGGGGCTACAAGGAGACCCTGTCTCAAAAAGACAAAAAAAAAAAAAAAAAAAAAAAAAAAGAAAGAAAAAGCAAGCTGAAAAAAATATTAGCAATGTCTATAGCTAACAAAGGTTTGACAACCTTAGTATTCCAATAGGAAAGAAGGTAAAGGACTCCAAAAGGGAATTCAGGAGAAATACAAATAGGAAGATATTTGTATATTTCAGAAATATATGAAAGATTTATTACTAATAAAAATAGTAAAGGAAGATAGCATATGGCTAACAGAGATTATAAAAAGTAATGTAGGTGGAGTTGGGAAGAATATGGGAAAATGGGCTTACACAGTGCTGGATGTGTAAATAACATGATCTTTTAGAAAAAAAAATCTGCTAAAAGATAAGTAACACTGATAATAAATTAGGATGTGTAGTATACACATTGGTCCCTGATTCTAACTCAAGCAACTCATCCTTTGAGACTACTAAAAAGGGACTCACAAACCACAGCAACTTGAAATAAAATACTAGAAACATAAATATTGATTAAATTACAGTACAGCTGCACACTAGGCTACCAGTAGTTTTTCTTAAGTAGCATAGCGTTCATAATACTTTTTAAAAAGCATTAATACTATTTATTTATTATTTATTTATTTATTTAATCTTTTTTCAGACACGGTCTCCCTGTAGCCCCAGCTGGCCTGGAATTCACTATGTAGACCAGGCTGGCCTTGAACTCACAAAGATCTGCCTGCTGGGATTAAAGGCATGCCCCACCATGCCCAGCCAGCATTAATACTTTTTAAAAAGCCTATTATTGTTTAGAAATGTGATCAGTATGTATATGTATAAGGGGGTATGTATAGTTTATGCATATAGAGAGTAATCTGGATGGTTCATATTTTGTTTATAGTTGCTACTTAACACAATGATGAGAGAAGGAATAAAGACAATTTTTTAATTTTATACTTCCCTGTATTATTTGTACTTGTCCTAATGCTGTAGACCATTTAAAAAAAAAAAAAAGAAAAGAAAAAAGAAAAAAATTAAAGGAAAATCATCTAAGCCTGGCTACTTCAGTCCAAGAGGAACTTGGCTTATAGAATTACCTTTTCCAGGGACTCCTTCTCAGCTCGGAGGTCAGTCAGTTCTTCCTCCAGGGATGTCACTCTGAGTTCCAGTTGTCGCCGGCTCTGCTTTTCACTTTTGAATTTGGAGTTTGCTTGCTGAGAAGTTACTTGGAGCTCTAGGACAGAGGAGCAGAGAGGTTTGGCTGTAGAACCAGAGATGCAGTAGACAATGTGACATCCCAGCAGCTCTTTCAAAGCTGCATGCTTTAATTTCCCAATCCTACCACATAAGCCTCCTTCAGTCACTCCTGAGCATCACCTCCCTGACCTGCTTATCAAGCCCTATGTTGATTCTCTTGCTAACTCATATTTACCCTGAAGAAAGTCACTCCTATATGTATATGCCACCTTCTACACATGCAAAATATAAAAGAAATGTTCTGAACAGTCAGAGATCATCTTGAATGCCGATCGCTCATACAATTCTATTCCCATGACCATGTTACCACACTGGGCATCTTTGTTTAGTGGAGCTCAGGCTCTTTCTCGCTGCCTGGATTAAGATTCTTTTAATGTTCTTGGTAGTTAGGACATTCTACCAAGAATTTACTTCAAAATAGCCCTTCTCAAATAAGGCTTTGAAGGAATTTATCTTTTAATTTAGTATACTAGAACTTATTTGAAAACTTAGGCTCTTGACATAACAGTCACAGAGAACGATCAGAAGGAACTATAAATCTAAAATTTTCAAAATATGTTTGCTCCAGGTGGGCCAAGTGCTGCTCTACAAGGAAAAGGATGGGTCATCTTAGCACTGACACTAGTACTTTTTAGCTTTCTATTGGACAGGGAATTGTCCTTCCACCCACTCTGCCGCTGCTTCCTCTGTCCCTGGCCACTAGTCCCAGTTGCCTTCTATACTGGTTTCATTTCTCTATACCAAGACATGAGTCGACATGCTGGCCTTCACAAACTTCTATCTAACAGCATATCTTGGACACTACCCTGTACCAGGTACTGAAATAACCCTCATACGGAGGAGAATAGAATAGTCTTATAAATGGTGCTTATCAAAGGCTATTCCAATAATGATAAGAATAATGCACTAAGAGATAAGGGACTTTGAAGGACAGTTAAATGGTCTAGAAAAACTGGGAAAACTTCTGAAAGAGGCAGATTTTAGAGAGAGTGAGAGGTAACAGCTGGTGATGGTGAGTACACCAAGCAACGTGACATCACTTTAAACATGGGTATTCCAAAAAAACAGCATGGATGAAAAGCAAAACAAGATGAGCTTGAAGAGCAGCCAGCAGGGTTGTGGTACAGGAGCACTCTGGACAATATAAAAGGAGATGAGCCAAGGGGAGGGGCCATGAGTGCCAGGCTAGAATGTTACGGTCCACTCTTTAGGAAGGAGGAAACCACAGTAGGAAGCATTTCTTTCTTCCAAATCCACTGAGTCATGAGTTAGAACATTTGAGGCCCGTACTAAGTACCAAAGATGTTGATGTAACACTTTCTCAAACAAAGATTAACAATGCAACTCATCAATTCCCACTGAATAGCAGCTCCTCCGGTTCTTTATGTAAAATAATCATGTAATTTTTCTACCAGTCTACCTTGATGCTCAGTCCTTCATGAATGTCATGAGCATTATGCCAGAGGGATTGACAGGAAAGAAATAATTTAACTCCTTTAAATGACAGTGATGCCAGCATCCTCCATTGAGGACATACCTGAGTGTTCTGCTTGTAGCCTGGTGAGCTGGCCCCTGAGGAGATCTGTCTCCTTCAAGTTTTCTGTCAGCTGCACCTGCAGCTCTGTTTCCTTCTTTTGGTGTGCAGTCATTTTCAGCTGCAGGTGAGAGACCTGTGCAGTGGCTGCTGCTAACTCTTCTGTCACCTTGGCCTGAACAAAGGGTGACATCACTTTAGACATAGATATTTCAAGTGCTGATTCAGTCGCCCATGTCTTTAAGCTGATGGAACTGCTAGACAGAAGGGAGATAAAGCCACTTTCAACCTGTATTGGGCCAAATTCAAGCTAAGGGTTAGGCCTGTGGAGGCCAGAGGAAAGTGTTGGATCCCCTGGAGCTGGAGTTACAGGCAGTTGTAAGCTACCTCACATGGGTGCTAGGAACTAAACTCAGGTCCTCTGGAAAAGCAGGAAGTACACTGCACTTAATTATTAAGCCATCTCTCTAGTCCTATACAGAAATATTTTTTCCTAGCATGTCTTTAATCTCAGCATTCAGGAATCAGAAACAGGTGGATCTCTGTGAGTTTAGGAGTTTGAGGACAGCTGGTTTATGAAGTGAGTTCCAGGCCAGCCAAGGCTTCACAGTGAGACCCCCTCACTAACTCAAAAAAAAAAAAAAGAAAGGAGATATCCCCACCCCCACCCCCAGGAGCTGGTGAGATGGCTGAGCAGAAAAAAAAAAAAAAAAAAAAAGGGAATACCCCCCCCCCCCCCCCCGGGAGCGGGGGAATTGGCGGAGAAAAAAAAAAAAAAAAAAAACTGCCACACAAACTGATAACCTAAGTCTGATCCCCAGGACCCATATGATAGAAGGAGAAAACTGACTCCCTCAGGTTGTCTTCTGACCTCCACATATGCACTGTGGTATGTGTGCCTTAGCACAATGTGCCCCTCTCACAATAAATACATAAAAATTTAACAAAGAGAAATATTTTCTCAATATTTTCTTTCTATAAAGTGAGTCGTTATATAAATACGAATGATTCTCCCCACCTTTCAGATAGAAAAGGAGATACGCTATATTTTCTCTATTAGCAAACATAGGTTTTCCTCCTGGCCCTCTTCTTTAAAGAGTTCATATTGTATTCTGTGAATGTACAATAAGTTATTTTCGACTGCAGGACACTTGGCTTGTTTCTGGCCACATTTCATTACATAAGACACCAGTGAATGATCTTGGACCCACTGTCAGTTCACTTGTCTGCACCAGGACTTTGAGGAGACTCCTAGATGCAGAATTGCTAGATCAAAGTAAAAGCTTCTGCAGCTTTTACTTTCTACACTCTTACCTGATTCACTAACCCTTGCCAAAATTTCAATTTCTAACCAGTCTGATGAGAAATGGTATTCACGCCATTTTCTATTTTTTCTATATTCTCAGGTAACTTATGATGAAGCTGGTGACTATCCTGAAAGTATCAGATGAGATTCTGAATATTGGGGATGAAGATAACGATGATTATAAGGGCAATCAACTAAAGGACAGACATGGGCTAGAGAGCTGGTTCAGTGGATTATGGTTGGTTTATGTTTTGTTTATTAATTTTCAGAATGAACAGATGCAACTATTAAGTAGGAAAAGACTATGTGTGGATATGTACATGTATGTAGGTGTACATGTATAGTTACAGATACAATTACAATATTTTAAAAATCATTAGGAGGCTAGCCAGTATCAGTGGGAAAGGAAATAGACAGAAGCCTACACAGTGGATGGCAGGACTCTCTGATTTCCACCCTGGGACAATATCTGCTGTTGAGGTGGAAAATTGGGAAAAGAAAGCAAGGACAGGAAGAGCCAAGAATTCAGAAAGACAAAAGAGCATTCAAATTAGCAGCACAGAGATAGTATCACAAAAAAACTGGCAATCTGATATGAGAAAAAAGACAGCTAGTTGAAAATGAGAACCAGAGTATAGTCTTTTCTACTTTTGGCACCTCAATTTATCACTTTTTAAAATAAGTAGATTAGACTCAATGACCTCTAGTAGCTCTTCCAGTTTTAATCATTACTTTATAAGAAAATATTAACTCTATCACAGAAAAAAATAGTTCTGTTTACTATTCATTGAGCACTTAACCATATTTTTCTGAGCAGTGTTTGAAGACAGCGAACTGCCTCCAGTGATGAAAGGAACTGCTGATCTCCCTTTTAGAGAGATCATAGGGAAACTGCTAAAGAAGTAGATCATCAGAAAGAGAGGCACGTATCTATAACTGCAACACCTGAAAGGCTAAGGCAAGAAGTTAGAGAGTGTGAGGCCAGTTCAGGCTACACAGAAAAACCCTGTCTGAACAAACCTGGGCAACATAAGGAGACCCTATATGAACAAACAAACAATGAAAACAACATTTATGCCACGTGTAGTGGCGCACACCTTTAATCCCAGTACTTCGGAGGCAGAGGCAGGTGGATCTCTGTGAGTTCAAGGCCAGCCTGGTCTACATAGTGAGTTCCAGGACAGCTGGGGCTACAGGGAGACCCTGTCTCAAATAGACCGAAAAAAAAAAAATTTACCAGGCAATAGTTAGAGCTTAAAGTTTCACTGAAATGGTGGTGACCAAGTAGAGTACATGGCATCTCAGGACTGAGTCATCAGTCCAGGATTCTCCCTCGAGCAGCAAAGCATGAGATCTACAACATAGTAGAAGTTTGGTAGATGTTAGCTGGGGTTCTGTTTTAGTCCTACTGAGCTGCTTTGGCTATTAAAAATTGAGTACCTGCTGGGCTCAGCACACTTTGCAAGACATCTCTGAAGTTTAGCAACACAGAAACATGTGAGTGGACTAGCAAACAAATTAAAAGTTTGATCAACTGGGCTGGGCTTGGTGACACATGCCTTTAATCCCAGCATTGGGGAGGCAGAAACAGGTGGATCACTGGATGGTCTACTAGCAAGTTCCATGCCAGCTGTAGCTACATAATGAGACCCTGTCTCAAAAAACAAACAAAAAACAAAACAAAAAACAGCAAAGAAAGAGCGTTTGATAAACTCATGAGCCAAACTGGACTACTGCCTATTTTGGGGAACAAAGTTTTCTGGAACACACATGTGTGCTCACGCACACACACACACACACACACACGTGCGCACACACAAAACAGTGATATTCAACATGAGAGTCACCTGTCACATGCAGAGACTGTGACAAAACAGGTGAGTCCTATACCTCTATGGGCACTGGAATCAACAAGAGCTTAGTAAAGGTTTTATCTTGGCTGCATATGACTAAAGTGGAGACTCAGGAGGTGAAAATGAAAAATACATAGTTTTAATCAAGATACCCAAGGGGTTCTGAGGCAGCTAGAGCAGTGCTTGGGCATTACTAATCTACAGAATAAATTACAGGATCATTTTATTCCTGAATAGTAACACTGAAGATAATAGGTTTGGATACTCCACTAGGTCTGGCAGAGGGCTGGGGAGATAATAAAGGAAGGGACAAGAAAATAAAACTAAAATCAGAAAAAGGTGAATAGTAAAAAGCACATTTTGGGCAGAGTTGTGAAGTGGATCAGTAACCCTTGATGCTAATGCTTCCAGGTATCTTCATCTAGGCATTAGCAAGCAGCCACAACAATGGATAGACTGAGAAGTTATGGGAAAGAAATAGTACCCCCGAACAAGAGAGGGCTGTGCAGGGCAAGGCTCTGCTCATCTGAGGACACCTGGTCAAAGACATTACTACTGAAGGTATGGCTAAGCAAGCACAAAAGTTAGCTCAAAACATAACTAAGGAATCCTATTATCAGAATATGAGAAAGTATCCAAATGCCATAAGTTATAAAGTTCATTGTATTCAACTTTTCACGTTTTTAAGGGAAAATCAAAATATATAAACTATTTAAAAATCCCTGAGAAAATACCAGAAAAAGAGTAAAGATTTCCCAGTTGAAGACTGATGACCCAAATAAGAAGGAATCCATTCTGGACAAACAGTGTCTATAGGGCAAGAGGGAAAGTGGGCCAGAATTAGTGAACCCTAACCCAAGGTCACAGCAGGTCAAAAATCATTCTGAAAGGACTAGAGTCACAGTACTTTATTATTTATTTATTTATTTTAGAGGTTTGTGACAGGTCTCCTGTAGCCCAGGTTTCCTTCAAACTTGCTGAGTGACCTTAAACTCTTGATCTTCCTGCTTCTATCTCCTAAGTGCTGGGATTATAGGCATGTAACACCATGCCCAACTCTATTATCTTATTTTATTTTTTGCTTCATTTGTTTGAGATAGGGTCTCACTATGTGGCCCTGGCTGGCCTGGCACTTGCTATACCTTAGAGGGACTTGAACTCAGAGCAGTCCTCCTGTCTCAAGCTCCCAAGTGTTGTGATTACAGGCATATGCCACCATGCCTGGCTCTAAAGTAGCCCTTCAAAATGCCTGTGGAAGACCCAAATGAAAGAACAAACTAAACACAAATAAAGTAGCAAATTAGACAATCTTAAATTCCATGAAAAACAGCATAGACATTTGTTATCTAACATTTTCTTTTGATTTTATCAACAGAATAAATTTAGCTTCTAATAAACTATAATATTCTTACCATAATCAGATTATTAAAACAGGTGATAGGATTTTTTTTTTTTTTTTTTTTTTTGAGTCAGGGTCTCACTATGTAGCTCAGGTTGACCTCGAACAATAGATTCTTCTGCCTTGGCTTGTCAGGTTTTGGGATTACAGGCATTGAACATCACCCCAAATTCAATCATTGCTTTTAAGTCAACTTACTGCAAAGTCAACTTATTCATAAAACAGAAAAGAAGGTGATTAATATATGAAAATCTGTTGGATGATTTCTAGGTCTCTTCTTAATGATAGCAAATATCCTGCTAAAAAGCAACTGAGAAGCTCACATGCAGGACCACTCCTCAGCTTAACATATCCCGACCTGGGTCTTCCTCTGCCCAGTTACTTTACCTTCTCTTGTTCAGCATGCAATACTCTTGCCTGTGTGTTTTCTGTGGCTGTCTGAAGTGAGTTGTTCCTCTTCTCCATCATCAGGTTACTCTGTTCAACATACCTGAGACAGAAATAAAGAAAAGCATTTATGAGGCATTTTATGTTTGACAGGCACAACCCAACCCACACTCAGTCCTCAACAACATTGCTCTACACCTTCATCAAAAACAATCTGAAAGCCCTTTGCATTCCTGAGACCCGCAGTGATTAATCAAAGGGTGTGTGGTGATGAGGGGGGGTGAGGGAGGATAGAGAAAGGACTAAGAAGACTCTATGGAGGAGAGAAGAAAAACCCCACTTTTCTGATCCTGGTATGTGAGACATAAGAGACACTGAACAAGAGAAATATGGAAGAACAATTTTTTAAAAGTAAAACCTTGTTGACACTTGTTCTTCTGACCACATTTATGCTCTCAAAAGTTCAGAAAGATCAATTGAAAATTATAAAATGTCATGTTTTATGTGAAAATCAGTGGGGCCTTGGCTAAGTTCTGGTTGACAAAATAGAGTCAGCCTACACAGAAAAGAGCTGACACCAGAGTTTTCTAAGTAACACCATTTTCAGAGATGAGGACTGTAGACCTACAGAAATAAGCAGAATCCCCACAGGTACACAATAAAGGAAGGGCAGAACTGGGGGCAAACACAGGTCCTTCTTATACCATGACCACTGGAGCTCATTCTGAGGTTGTAAACAGGTGATAATGTACATGGCAGGCAGGAAATAGAAACATCAGATATGCATAACACAGTGTCCTAAGAAAACATAGCAATTACATATTAAACCCTTGTCCACTCTAGCCAGGCCCCCCCGTACCTGCCATTACCTCTGATTTCGTTCAATTAGCTCACTGATCTTGTCATTTTGTTCTTCTATCCGGTTGCTCTTCTCAAGGAGCTCCTGCTTCAATCTTTCATTTTCCTAAATCCAAACATACGATAGTCAAGGTAAGTGTCTTAAAAGTGCCATATAAAGGCCAGGTGTGGTGGCACATGTCTTTAATCCCAGCACTTAGGAAGCAGAGGCAGGCAGATCTCTGTGAATTCAAGGCCAGCCTGGTCTACATAGCAAGTTCCAGGTCAGCTGGGGCTACAGGGAGACCCTGTCTCAAAACAAACAAACAAACCAACACTGCCCCCCTAAAAAGTGCCATATAAGTGTCTTGAAAGTTCTGCTTCCTAGCCAAGTGTGGTAATGCATGCACCTGTAATCCCAGCACTCAGGAGGCAGAGGCAGATGGATCTCAGTGAGTTCAAGATCAGCCTGGTCTACATAGTGAGTTCTAGGCCAGCTGGTGCTACAGGGAAACCTTGTCTCAAAAAGACCAAAACAAAACAAAACAAAAAGGAGAGAAAGTTCCTTTTGCTTCCTGTCTGCTACTTTCACTTCCTGTCTGTTCTCTGCTTCCTGTCTTCAGCTGTGCTACCATGTGCTGCTGTGACTGGCTATATCCCTTCAAACTGTAAGACGAAAGAACTTGAACTGATAGGTGGCTGCGGTAGCATATTTTGAAACAAAACACTACAACTTATTTCCAAATATGACTATTAAAATAACATATCAAATTATACCCGATGGACTAAAATCACTACATCAAATAGGCTGAATGTTTAAATGGACATAAAAAGAAGTGAGATTCTCAAACAGGACCCAAAAGCAATGTTCTGACTATATACAGTATAAGTCACATAATATACTATACTCCATAATGCACAGTCACTATACTATATACTATATGTAGCATGTATAAAAAATAGCACAATAGAGCTTAGGATAAGACAGCATAGCATGCTATATTGTAATTAAACACAGTTGTAGTTTGAATGCAAAATGTCACCCATAAGTTCATGTGTTTGAACACTTGGTCCCCAGATGGGACACGGAGGAGGGGTGCAATTAGAAGTGGATCACTGAGGGTAGGCCTTAAGCTTTCCTAGCCAGGTTTCACTTCCTGTGTTCTCTCTGCTTCCTAACTGCAGGCTTAATGTGACCAATGGCCTCAACCTCTACCACCATACGTTCTCCACCATGAAGGTCTGTATCCCCTCAGACTGTGAAACAAAATAAACCTTAAGCTGACTCTTGTAAGGTATTTTGTCACAGCAGTAAGAAAAGTAATTAATACAAAAGTTTAAGTCATGAGGCCCAAATTAAGCCATAATAGTTTTTCTAGAGATTTCTAAATTAATTGTATTCAACACATGTTCTCTATTTGAGGGGTGAGTGGCAGATTTTAGACAGTAGCACATCTGGCAAGGGAAGTACAGACAAGCTCTCAGGCTGAGTGCCGTGTTCTTCGTCACCCTTACCTGAATGATCCGCTGGATGTTGCTCATAATCATGCTTGTTTCCATGGTAACTGACATGCTAGGAAGATGCATGGAATTGCCAGCACTATGCTTCTGTAACTCATCAACCTGCCCCAGGGGAGCCAGAAAGACCTTATGAGAATGTTTAAAATAGAGAGATGCAATTTACCTAACTACAACCAGTTTTCGAGTGGGACAATATCTAAATGTAAGCTATTTGGCTCCTGCTAACTTGATCCTCAAGTAAAGATAACTGCCCCTGGGGGAAGAGGGGGGCAGTTAAGCACTGTGACTCTGAAAATTAAAGTGAAGTTTACAAAGAAGAGAGCAGTTCTGGCTGCTTCTTGTTTATACTCAACTTACCATTCCACTTCCTTTTTTTAAAAAATTTTTTTTGTTATTACAATTTCATGCATGTAAATGATGTATGTTGATCATAGCCACCCCCTCTTTAAAAAAATACCATGTAGGGGCTGGAGAGATGGCTCAGCAGTTAAGAGCACTGACTGCTCTTGCAGAGGACCCGAGTTCAATTCTATTCCCAGCACCCACATGGCAGCTATGAACCATCCTTAACTCCAGTTCCAGGGGAATCCGAAGCCCTCTTCTGACCTCTGCAGCACTGCACAACACAGGTGCACTCACATACATGCAGGCAATACACTCACACATAAAATAAAAATAATAAAATATAAAAAATACTATGTATTTTATTTATTTAAAATAGTCTATTCATTATTATTGTGTATATGTACAATATGTGTGAGGGCAGGGGTGTATGCACATGCCCCAAAGCATGTGTAGAAGTCAGAAGACAACTTACTGGACCATGAATTCTGGGGGTCAATCTAGGGTTGTCAGGCTTGTTCAGTGCTTCCTGCAGAGGTATCTCACCAGCCCAACCAACCCCATTTTCAACAATAGCGCCCCAACTCTGGTTCAGTCACCTTAGTCACAAGATGATCCATTTTATCAGCCATTTTGCTGACTGCCATTCGAATTTCAGTGTTATGTTGCCGGGTTTCAGTCATGAGAAAGGACATCATGTCACCTGATCCTAAAGAGACATAAACCGAAAAGAAATGTATAAAATTAAAAACACGAAATTGTACGTGGAAAAGCCAAAGACAGTTTTAGCAGGAGAGAGCGAAAGGAATCCTTTCATGTACTAGGAAATAGGATAGGTGATTTCACACTGTCAGAAGACAAAGAGGTTAAAAGAGACAAAAGAGCTCCCAAGCTAACAATAATCATATTATATTTCTGCAAAATGCATCAAGCGCTACAGTCTGGCCCAAGGGCACACTGGTCCAAGCATGCTCACTTGGAATACTATAATTCTGATGGCTTGCATTTCTTCCCTGTTCACATAACTGCATCCCAGGCATTGTACAGGCACCAGGGATACAACCAGGAATAAAATGTGGTTCCAGATCTTAATGAGTTTCACTAAGGAAACTGACATGTAAACAAATCATCACAACAGCTGGATGTGATGGCCCATGACTGCAATCCCAGCATTTGGAATACAGGCAAGAGAATCCAGAGTTCAAGATCAGCCTGGGCTACATGAGGCTGTCTCAATTTTTTTTCCCTTTGGTCTGGAGAGATATTTCAGTGGTTAAGAGCACTGGCTGTTCTTGCAGAGGACCGGAGTTCAGTTCCTAGCATCCACATGGTGGTTAACAACCATCAGTAACTCCAGTTCCAGGAGATCCAATGCCCTCTTCTGGCTTCTGTGGGCATTGTACAATATGGATACACTTACATGCAGAACAAAACATTCATACATATAAAGTAAAAAAAATTATTTTTAAAGTTTTTCAAGTACAGAAAATAGACCATGCATAAAGTACAAAAGTAGCACCTTAAAAGTAGTATGAACGAACCCTTTGTAGACATTCATATATACCTGTGTCCATGAGAGCAGTAGATGGAGAGAGGATGATAGCCAGAGGAAATGACAATTTGGAGGGATGTAAAAGTGTTTCCCAGATGGAAAAGGGAGGGGCTCCAGACAAAGGCTGCATTCAGGAAGCCCTTCCCACTCCAGAACACAATCTAGGCTATAGGATATATTTGCTTCCTCTTGCCACTGTTCTAGTGTCAAGGTGATTACTGATAGATAAAGTAGCCTATGGATGAATCCGGTTGATCAGGAGAAAGAACCAGGACACAGAAAAAACTCCATTGGAATACAGTTTATTACAAAGGAACACATGGGACAGATTCCCTTCCAGGCAGGGAAAATGTCTCCCCGGGTCCCTCTGAGCTGGGGTCTTTTAAAGGGGTAGGCTTCTGCTTCCCGCAGAAGGCAGGAAGATATATATATATTTTAAATTGGGTGTGGGGGGGAAGCGGGAGAGTGGGTTGTTAAAACCTGCTCCCTTCCATCTGTCAGCCAGGATCTGGATCAGGAAGTGTTTGTTTTTGTCCTCTTAAGATAAGGGAAAAACTGCTGTGCTGAAGCGGCTCCTGAGATCTCTGGTTAAAAGGTGGAATCTGTTTATCTTGTCTTCGGAGATCAAAGGAAAAGCAAGCTGCCTTTTAGAAGAGTCTGCTTCTCTTGACTTTAAAGACCAGGGTGCTTATCAACTCAGTTCCCTTTTCTCAGGGGGCTTGCTTGCGAGGTCTGTGAGGCCCTGTTGGTGAGGAGGCAGGGCTATCTGAACCTTAACAATGACCACACAAAAAATAAACGGTAGACCAATGCAGGATACCAACAGAGCTGTGGACATTTCATTTGCTTTCTTTACAAAGACACCTCTACTTGCACATGCACACAAAATAAACACAAAGTTACCCAAGTAACAGGGAAGGACAGTTTCCTATTTCCTACCATCTGGAGTTTAATGACCTCAGAGAGGACAGCTACCTTTCACTTTGTTCCACTTCGTATTGTTTGACATTTTCATTAAAGTACATTACCTTCATAATCTATAAATTTTAGCAAACTTGTTTTCTTTTGAGTTACTCAATACCCACACCAGTCCTCGTGTGTCCTCCCAGTCTCCTCCAATGTCTGCTCTTCTATCTGCTGCTAGTCAGACACTGTTCTAGTTCTATCTGTTCCAGTCACCCTGACAGAAGAATTAAAAGGGCTAGTAGAAAAACATGGAAGGAAAAGACCAGAAAGTGGGCACAAAAGGACTTTGGGGGATAATGGAAATGTTCTAAAAGTGAATTGTCATGATAGATGTACAACTCTGAAATTTTTCTTAAGGAAAAAGTCTTGGGTGCTGGGGAGATGCTCAGTGGGTAAAAGTACTTGCATGAGGACCTGAGTTCAAATCCCCAGCACCTGTATTAAAAATAACAAAAGAAGCTGAGCATGGTTGTGCTTATCTATAACCCCAGCATTGGGAGTGAGGGGTGTAGACACAAGTGGAACCCAAGAGTTCATTGGCCAGACAGCCTAGTTAAAAGGGCAAGTTTCAGGCCAGGCATGGTGGTGTACGCCTTTAATCCCAGCACTCGGGAGGCAGAGGAAGGCGGATCTCTGTGAGTTCAAGGCCAGCCTGGTCCACATAGTGAGTTCCAGGACAGCTGGGGCTACAGGGAGACCCTGTCTCAAAAAGACCAAAAAAAGGGGGGGGCAAGTTTCTGGTTCACTGAAAGACCCTGTACTTAGAAGATAAGCTGGAGTGCAACAGAGGAAGACATCCAATGTCCTGCTCTGTCCTCTGCATGCATATACACAGGTGCACATATAGCACATTCACATGCATGCACCACACACACAAACTACACACACATACACTTAAAAAAATCTTTGAGTTGTATAATTAAATCATTTATATAGCATATAAATTACATTTCAATCAAGATGCTAAAAAAATGAAAAGAGGGGCTGGAGAGATGGCTCAGTGGTTAAGAACACTGTTTGTTCTTATAGAAGACCCGGGTTCGAATCCCAGCACCCACATGGCAGCTAAAACTGTCCAGTCCACTCCAGTTCCAGGGGATCCGACAGCCTCTTCTGACCTCTGCGGGCATTGCAGGACACAGGTGCACTTACCTACATGCAGGAATACACACATACACATAAAATAAAAATAATAAATAAAATTTTTTAAAAAAAGAAAAGAGTAGAGCTGTTGGAGTAAGAATGAAAACAGGATGAGAGAGCAGGGTAGAAGATGAGAGACAGGGTTATTCCGTACCTTGAAAGTGGGGAGCCTGGGAGAGTGGTGCTGGGTACAAGGGCCGAACAGGCTGCAGCTGCGAGGTGACTGAGGATGCCTGGGAATACGAGTAGGCCTGCACACCTGCATAGGGCTGACAGAGTGATACATTACTTGCTTGGTTTCCTAAGTTGGAATGAAGTGAAGAAGCAGGGAGGAGACTCAAAATTATTGAAGCTGGAGATCATGAGATCAGGGTTAGGCAGAGCTGCCTATGGGACTTGGCAGTACCTGGTCACTCAAGTCCTATACAGAATCTGAGGAATCAGAGATCACTACCCAGACCTCTGGCAATTTGATTTAATGAAGTCGGAGTTCATACCTGTATTTTAGTAAGTTTTAAAATGAAGCAAATCCTATTTAGTTTCTTCTGAGGCAAAAAGATGCATTCACTGAGATTCCAAACTAAGCCAGTCACATTCCAAAGGATGCCTCTGCTCTGCAATATTCTTTTTTTTTTTTTTGGTCTTTTTGAGACAGGATCTCTCTGTAGCCCCAGCTGTCTGCACATGTGTGTGTAGTGCCAGAAAAGGGCATCAAATCTCTTGGAGCTAGAGTTGCCAGATGTGGGTGCTGGGACCTAAACTCAGCTCCTCAGGAAGACCACTAAAGTGCTATTAACTGCTGAGCCATTGCTCCAGCCCCTAGATTCTTTTTTGTTTTGTGTTTGATTTTTGAGAGATGATTTCATGTAGCTCACGCAAGCCTTGAATTCACTATATGGCTGAGGATGCCCTTGAACTCCTGATGCTCCTACTTCCAGTTCCCTAGTGCTGAGATTACAGGCCCGTGTACCATGCCTACTCGCCCTGCTGGATGCTCATCTGGGTGACTAGGAGCTTCATTTTTCCTGAACTTCAGTCACCTCAATTGTGAAGGGAAGATAATATCACTTTGTTAAATAAACTAAATGAAATGATACAGGCAAAGTCCCTAACAAATGGAAAATTCAGTGTCTGGTAGAAAGTAAATGCTCACTAAACATTAGCTATCATTTTAATAAGGAGAGATATTCATCTCCAATAGGAAATCCTGCTTATTTCCAGGGACAATATAATGATTTAGACATTATTTAATTTAAAAAAACAATCTTAGTTTCTGACAGAGTAATTATCCATTGGGGGAGACTGTTTAGGTTTTGATATTCCTTATCCTAGTGGACCAATGTCTGCCCACCATGGCTCCCACCTCTCCATTAAGAATCACCAAGGGGAGCTAGAGAGATAGCTGTTAGGGAACTGCTTACTGAGCAAACATGAGGATCCTCAAGACCTTCATAAAAGCCAGGCCCTGCAGCACACATCTATAACCTCAGCACTGGGAGACAGGAGGGGAGAGGCGGATCCCTGAAACTCAATGAGCTACAGGTTCAGAAAAACATTCTGTCTCATAAAATAAGGTGTGGAGTGATCAAGGAAGACACCTGACATTGATTTCTGACACACACACACACACACACACACACACACACACACACACACACACCTGCATGCACACCCACACAAACACATGCATACACTACATACATGTGCACACATATATGAACATGTACATGTACCACACACACTATTACCAAAGAAGTTAAAGGTTCTGCTGTCACTGGGAGTATGTCCCACCCATCAAGTGTGCTCAGGCAGATGAAACAGTCTATGACCCTGGCAGTCAGTCAGTAGAGGCAGACAGGCTACTGTCACTGCCTTCTATGATAACAGAAAAATCTACTTAAAGAAACCACTTTTAGGGGACAATAGTCCAGCTTCCATCCTCAATCCACAAGATGCTCTGTTGAGTATAATACGGAATGTTAGCTTATTAGCTCTTTCATAGAAAGGCAATCAGAAGATATGAATATACCAGCACTGGCCCTTCACTGTGTGTGCTGCCTGGGTCTCTGCTAGGCCCAAGCCTTGTACTAGGTACTTCGCTTATTCTTGTACTTAATTTTCATAGACCTTGTAAATGGGGAACTCTGTGTAGTTTAGGGATAAGAAAGTGGTAATTTAGGGAGGTGGGAAAAAAAATCACAAACTTTGACTCTGGAACTGCTACTATATAAAGAGGAAAGAAGGAATCTTCTTGTATGCTCACAACAAGAAGACAGGAGACTGATAAGAACTGTAACAAATTATCCCCTGTAACTAGAACGGATTTAAAATGAAATTGTTACCTGGAAGGACTGAGCATTTCCAGACACAGCTGAGTGAGAATCAAGGGGTGCAACTTGCATTAAGGCAGCAGAGGGTGTTTGGAGCCCAGAAACAGATGACTGAGATGCTAAGATAAATCAAAACATTTTCACCATTATCCACCTTGCTTCTTGTGTCAACACAAAAACACAACTCTTACCTCAAAGGGGATAAGAGATAGTTTATTTTGTAGTCAAATATGAATGATCATGACCAGGAACACAGATTTAGGTCACCCCAAATTCCATGTTTTAGCATGGTAACAGTTTCAGTTTTTATGGTAACAGAACAAAAAAAAAAATTCATAAATCAAAACATTGATAGAAATCCTTATGAGTGTGTATCTTGATATAACTGCAGGAACCAGGAAAATGGAAGGAAACCAGGGAGGTAAAGGGAAAGAAGGAACCTGAGAGAGAATAGTAGGAGATAGGTTTTACTAAGGGAGAAATGTGTAAAAAAGGGGTAAAGGGGAAGGGGAGAAGGAGAAAGAACTATGGGAATAAAGGGGAAGAAGGCGCTCAAAAGAGGTGGGACCATAGCAGACAGAAATTATCAAGGGAGAAATGGGGAAAATGGGGACACTTTAAATGGGAAGGGCGGGGAAGGGAGGATAAGACAGGGAGAGAGAGAGGAGAGATAAATAGTGCCTAGCTAGTATAAAAAACCAGAGGGAATTGTATTAATCCAAAAACCTATTGAAAAATTATACATACAATATCCCTACATGAGTCCATGAGTCTAGCTGAAGACCACATGACAAGAAACAGTACCAGACAGGAGAAACCTTCCTTTTAGTTGTTGGCCAGGGTAGTCCAAGAGACTCCCAAAATTACATATGCTATTGCCACAGTCCTTGATTGCCTCCCAGAACTTGATGGTAAGATCTATTGCTAAAGACAGGACATACTTTGGACACCCAATTTGGAGCGACCGAGCTGGAACTAACCTGGAAGCCCCCTCCCCTGAAGGCCAGCTCTCATAGCTTTGGAGAGCACTAGGCAAGCTGGTAAGGAAGAACAACAATCCATGATCCAACCCTAGCTTCAAGGCCTAAAAATCACATCAGTGACCAGCACAGCAAACGACATTGGTGCAGTAGTGGCATTTTTATCTTGGGGGTAATCAACAGCTACCTAATTGGACTTAAAGTCCACTCAATGGGAGGAAGCTCATGTCTGGTACTGTAAACCTAGCCAAATACACATAGCTGGAGAGGTCATAGATCTTGGAGAAAAACAAAGGCTTTCATATCCCTAGATAAATGTAATTTCTTACTATGTGCAAAATGTGGATCCTTAAATTTATAGACAAGTATCCCAGTCATCACCCATCAAAGTAGCTTCTTTTTCAACAGACAGAGATTAACACACTGGTCACACACAGAGCTTCTCTGTGAACTGCCCAAGCACATCTAGGATGCAACCTCTACAACCTAAGATTCATAGAACATAGAACAAGGGATGAAGAGAACATTAATGTATCTTTCAATTCTCATCAATGAAGCTCCCTCATGCAACAGAGGGCCAGGAACACAAAAGGCCACAAATGGCCAAAATGCAAAGAATAAAAGTCAGCAGAGTGTGGATCTTTGGATAGGTCTCCTATATTGAGATCCACCCATCCAGGGCTCAGGGACCATTGAAGAGGGGGAGAAAAGATTTTAAGAGCCAGGGAGGAGGTGCATGACCATACAGAGATAGTCCTACAGGCACCTAGGACCCTCCTCATACAAACCTACAGCAATGTTGTCAGCATGCATAAGACCCATGCAAACTTAGGCAGACAAAAACCCAGCACAGAACTGTGGAAATGAACAGCAAGCCCCATTTTAACTTAACTGATTAAGTTAAAAAGCAAGCCCCAATCTTAGTCGAAGAATTATTGGCAGCTAATTGCTGCTGGGTGAAGAAGAGCTGATCTTCTTAAAGAGAGAGACTCTAGATTGGCTGACGTTTTAAACCCTGGCAGATGAACTTGCACTAAGGGACATCTCAGGACACTAACTTTACATAATAGGCCTTAATACAAATGACAGAATATATGAACTCCAGGGGGGGAGGGAGCTATGGGAGGGTGCCAAAGGGAAAGGGGGAAGGGGATATAAAGATGATTTTATGTATAAAATACACAAAAATTCAATAATTTTTTTTAAAAAATCTGGTTCTTCTTGGGCTAGGAAGATAGCTCCCCAGAACCCATGTTTAAAAGAAAAAAATAGATTGGTGGAAACATCAGGCAGGCAGGTTCCAGAAAAACAGTTACAGACCTCATATGCTATCTGACCACATTCTTAGCTGTTTCTCTCTACATTCCAAAGGATTTATTTAATAGCTACAAAGATGTTAGGTGACTTACAGACGAAGCCAATAAATGGCCATTAAGGTACTAAACATAGCCCAAGGCAAATCATAATTAGGCTCTGGACCTGTAACATTCCAACCTTTCCACAATCACTGAAGTTCTAATCAGTTCATCAGCCTTGTAAAAGGTTTGGTGTAAAGCACAGTTCTTTCCAGGACTTTCCTTCACACTTGATGCAAGTCTAACCTGACAATCCATGCTTCAAACCTGACCACTTAATTTACCTAATCTCCTAAAACCAGCTTACTGGCATCCCAGCAATGGGACCTTGAAAGGAAATGGTGTTCCCTTGTGCATCTGGCTCAGCCGACAGGAAGTGCAAAACAGCACATAGGGAGATGACTCAAAAGCTGAGTGCAGACTTCCAAAACTGATAATGCAACACAACAGAAATCACAACGAATGGGCCTAATACATCTCTGAGTCTGAAATGTTCTGCCCAGGGACAAACTAACAAGTTTTCCTCTCCAATCCAGGCCCAAGTACTAACAATGCAAGCCAGCAATTTAAAGAGGAGTGATGATAATTTTCATATTGATCCAACTCAAGGGCAGAGAGCCTTACAGAGGTTGTGTTCTTACCCTGTGAGGTCATCTGTGGTAACACTGGATGAACTGGCTGAAGAGACGGCTGGATGGAAGGCAGCACCAGGGACTGCCCAGCTCCTCGAACAGCACTTACATCCTGAAATGGGCAGAAGACTTGGTCACTGTGTGTAATCCTTTAACTGTAGACAGAGGAGACCGTCTCTAACTGCTTGCAACACAGGGTTTCTAGGGAAAAAAGAGGAAGGAAAGAGCCAGAAAGCCAAGAGTTGTGGGGGGGAGGCAATCATGCAAGAGAGGGAGAGCCTTTTTCCTTCAAATCATATCAAATAATTAAATACAGTTAATTCATAGAAATGTTCAAAGTTGTCCATGTTTTATCATTTGAAGCAGCCAAACTGACAACTCTCCAGAATATACCATTTCTCAAACCAGCACCTACCTTCAGACTGATCTAATCTGTTGCCAGGAACAATCCAACCTCTCCTCTTCTATCAAATAATCTCCACAGACCTCAGAGAAGCCACAGAAATAGGGCCAAGGACTCCCTGCACAGCACTGGCATGCTAGTTTAGGATAATATGTGTTCAGAATATTTGCCCTCATTCTTAAAGCTTTTTTTAAACTAAATAGAATAAATAATGCAATTCTAAATGAAGTTTCTCTATACCTTCCTGTTTTATACAAGAAACAGGAACTCTTGAAATACAGTAACAGTGGCTGACTGTAATCTACTATGCTGTGCGCCAATGGCTACAATCTCTTGGTCATTCTTTTACTTTAGAACTTGCCTCATCTCCTAATATTTCTTTCTGGAAAAATAAGCCAACTTTTAGATTATTACAGATTTCTAAATCAACTTAAATAACTAACAGAAGAGCAAAAGGAATTATGATAAATCTGCATAAAAGAACACTGGGTTAACCTTAAAAGGTAATAATGCCTTCTTTATATTGCTGATATTTACATAAATATTTATGATATGACATTAAGTTAAAAAGTCAGTTTACAAAGCAATGTATAAAGAAAAATGTCCCTTTGTTAAGCACATTCTTCTTTCTTCATATTTTACATTATTATACAACTAAGTAGCTATACATTTAAAAAAATTTTATTTGTTGTTTTTATTTTATGTATGAATGCATTGCCTGTATGCACACGAGTGCACCCATGTCGTGCAATGCCATAGAGGTCAGAAGAGGGCCTCGGATTCCCCTGGAACTGGAGTTAAGGACGATCTGTAGCCACCATGTGGGTGCTGGGAATCAAACCCGGGTCCTCTGCAAGAGCAGTCAGTGCTTCCAACTGCTGAGCCATCTCTCCAGCTCCCAAGTAGCTATACATTTTTAATGAGACTATATTATTCAAATTTCATTTGCAGAAACCAGGAGAATGATTATAGGACAGTAGGCTTCAGAAAGCCTATCTTCTTTTAAAATGTTACATTTTTTTTCCAAGAAAAATACTAAGCCATATTATAAAAAACAAAGGCTATTTCGGAAATTTTTTTACTCAAAAATCTTTTTCTTCATTTTACATCAAATGAGTCAATCTCTCAGATATTTCTGTTCATTTAAGAAAGAATTGTTGGAGCTGGAGAGATGGCTCTGTGGTTAAGAGCACTGTCTATTCTTGCAGATGACCTGGGTTTGAATCCCAGCACCACATGGAGGCTAACAACTGTCTCTAACTCCAGTTCCAGGGATCCAATACCCTCTTCTGACCTCCGGGGGCACTGCATGACATGGGTGCACTTACATACATGCAGGTTTCACACTCATACACATAAAATAAATAAACAAATTTTAGAAAGAGAGAGAGAGAGAAGGAAAGGAAGGAAGGTAGGTAGGAAGGAGGGAGGGAGGGAGGGAAGGAGGGAAGGATTGTTTTGGAGCTGGAGAGATGGCTCAGTAGTTAAGAGTCCTGGCTGCTCTTGCAGAGGACCCAGGTTCAGTTCCCAGTACCCACGTGGTGTCTAACTATGGTCTATAACTCCAGTTCCAGGAGAATCCAATTCTCTTCTGACCTCTGAGGGCTTGCATGACACAGGTGCACTTACACACATGCAGGCAAAATACTCATAAATACACGTAAAATAAAAAATAATATTTTTTAAAAAAAGGATTGTTGCATTAAATAAGAAGCTAACCACTTGTGTGTGGTGGTGCATGTCTTTAGTCCCAGCATTCAGCTAGTACTAAGGAGAAAGAGACACCTGTGAGATCCAGGCCAGCCTGGTCTACACAGCAAGTGAGTTACAGGCCAGCTGGGGCTGCAGAAAGATCCTGTCTCAAAAAAACAAAAAATACAATAAAAATTAAAAATAAATAAGTATAAATCAAAACAATTTATTATATATTTAAAAAATGTATTTTATGTGTATGAGTATATTTCCTGCATGTGTTTAAGTGTATCTGTGTCATGCAATGCCCAAAGAGGTCAGAAGAGGGCACTGGGTCCCCTGGAACTGGAGTTAGAGACTGTTGTTAGTCACCATGTGGGTGATGGGAACTGAACCTGGGTTTTCCGCAAGGGCAGCCAGTGCTCTTAACCTCTGAGCCCTCTCTCTAGCCCCTCAAAATATTTTTTAAAAGAAGCTAACCACTGGGAAAAGGATTAAGTTTTACTTTATATTCTTTGTTGATTAGAAATTTAGATCTAAATATGAAATAATATTTATGAAAGCTAAATGGCATGCTTCTAAAATCTGAAAATGGGAATGCTTTCCTTTGTGTGTATTTTACATTGGGAGGCTGTGTGCACGTGTGTGCATACATGTGGCTGTTAGAGGTCAACAATGGATGTCTTCCTTGATCATTCTTCACCTGAATTTTTGAGACAGGGTCTCACTGAACCTGGAGCTCACTGACTGACTAGATGACTGACTACAGCCCCAGGGATGCTTTTGTCACCGCTTCCTCAGAGCTGGGATGACAGGCATGTACCATTGTACCTGGCTGTTTATGTGGGTATTACCAATCTGAACTCAGGCCCTAGGATTGTATAGCATGCAATTTATAGTCTGAGTCATCACCCCAGTCCTGGGAATGCTTTCTAAGCACAATGTCAAGAGGAAAAAGCAAAGGGAATTGGTAGAGTTGGTCTCAATAAAATTCTTGAACTTCTAAATAATATTTTTTTTTAAAAGACAAAAAAACAAGGAGAGAGGCTAGAGAGACAGCTCAGGGGTTAGCAGCACTGGCTGCTTTTGCAGAGACCTAGGCTTGGTTCCTAGCACCCACATAGTGCCTAATGACTGTCCATAACTCCAGTTCCAGAGGATCTGATGCCATCTTCTTGTCTCCACAGATTTGCATGTATGTGGTGCACTTACATACACATAAAATAAAAATAAGCTGGGCATAGTGACACATGCCTTTAATCCCAGCACTTGGGAGGCAGAGTTAGCTGGATCTCTGTGAGATCAAGTCCAGCCTTGTCTACATACTGAGTTCCAGGCCAGCTATGACTACAGGGAGACCCTATCTCAAAAAGACAAAAAAAAAATCTAATTTTTAAAAAAAATTTTATTTTATGTGTATGGGTGTATTGCCTGCATGTATGTAAGTACACCCGTGTCATGCAATGCCCTTGGAGGTCTGAAGAAGGAGTCAGATCCCCTAGAACTGGAGTTAAGGATGGTTGTTGCCACCATGTGGGTGCTGGGAATTGAACCCAGGTCCTCTGTAAAAGCAGCCAGTGCTCTTAACTGCTGAGCCATCTCTCCAGCCCCCTAAATTAAAAAAAAAAAACAAAAAAGAAAGAAAGAAAAAAGAAACACATATATGCCAGGCATGGTAGTGCATGCCTTTAATTCCAGCACTCGGGAGGCAAAGGCAGGCAGACCTCTGTGAGTTCAAGGTCAGCATGATCTACTGGTGAATTCCAGGCCAGGGGGAGATCCTGTCTCAAAATGACCAAGAAAAAAAGAAAAAAAAACCCAAAACAAACTATATATAAAGTGAAAAGATGTAACAGTTTGACATTTCCTAAATTGGTCTAAACATTCAATCAACAAAAATGGATGGAAGCAGGGAGCAATGGCATGTGTCTATATTCTTAGATGCTGAGGAGCAAATTCACTTGAACCCAGGAGCTACCACCGTAGGCAACACAGTGAGACCCAGTCTCAAGGGAAAAAAATGAGAAGAGGAAGAAGAATTGAGGGCCTACTATGGCTTGCACATCCTGTTGCCTAAAGATTGATTTTTTTTTTCTTGACATGAAGCAAATTTATTAGTTTGAGACAGGCAGCTAAAGATTATCTTTATGGGAAATACAGATTTAGGTACAGGAAGACTAACTGACTGAACCTCTTTAAATGGTCTAGTTTCTGCATCTGATGTACAGATTTACTTCCTTCAGGGGGAAAGTGCTAATCACAAAAGAAAGGCACGTCCCCATACCACTCTCTAAATAATGATTCCAGATTAGAGGGAGGAGAAAGCACTTATTTCAACCAAAGGAGCAGAAGATGGCAGCACCTGTTACTACTCATTTTAAACAGTCAAGGACACATACCTCAGTTTCTGAGTCATTGGAATCCAGCTGTGGCAGAAGGATGGGCAGCATGGGCTGGCCCATTTTAGCCATCCGAGAGATCAACTTGGCCTTGACTGTATCAGGACTCTAAAAAGAAAAGAAAGTCACAAAAATCAAATCACTGTGATTAAGATTTATTGCTTTCAGACAGGTCTATTTCTTTGAGTTTTGTATCAAATCCTTTAACAAGTACTCCTACTGTAATGTTTTTGAAATCATTTCCTCTAGAAAGTGATAATTTAAAAAATTTTTTTAACTTACTGTTTTGGCTTTGTGTGTTAAGTGTATGTGCAATGCCCCGGAGGCCAAAAGAGGGCATCCTTCAGAACCCCCTGGAACTGGAGTTACAGGAAACTGTGAACCACCTAATGTGAGTGCTGGGAACTGAACCTGGATCCTTTGCAAGAGCAGCAAGTACTTTTAACCACAGAGTCATCCCTCCAGCCCCTTTTGAAATTTTTTTTTTCCTTTTTCTTTTTGTGGGGGACAGGGTCTCACTATGTTGTATTCTTAGCTGGAGTTGACTGATACATAGACCAGGCTGGCCTTGAATTCACAAAGATCTGCATGCCTCTGCCTCCTGAGTGGTGGGACTAAAGGCATGCAGCATCACACCCATAAGAATTATTTTGTATATACCTAAAAGAATCAAATACTATGTAAATATAGTATTGAGGAAATAACAAGAAAAACATGTTTGTACATGTTCATCTTAGCTACAATCCCCACACCCCCAAAAAGAAAGTGAGAAAGATGCTGTGCATAAAAGCTTACAATTAAAAACAGGAGAAATAGCCAGGCATGGTGGTACACACCTTTAATCCCAGCATTCAGCAGGCAGATGTCTGTGAGTTCAAGGCCAGCCTTGTCTACAGCTGAGTTCCAGGTCAGCTAGGGCTACAGAGAGACCCTGTCTCAAAAAGACCAACAACCAAAACAAAACAAAAAACCCCAAAATACAAACCCAAACAAAACCAGTAGAAATAAGTCCCCATATATCTGGAATAGAGTGCTTTCATATGTACCACCTCTTTTCAACTAAGTCTGCCTGCTGGGCATCATTACTCTCATTTTACAGATAAAAAGACAAGAGATTTTTTTTTTTTGTTTTTTTCATTTATTTAGAACATTTTCTTAGAGTTTGAAGGAAAAACAACAGGGCAGACAAGCTTTAAATCTTGGTAGCAGGGGAGAGATGGAGAAGAGGGAGAGAGCTAGCCAAGTCTTTTGAGTTAGGGTCCAAGAAAGCAGGCTGGCTGGGCAATGGAGGTCCACAAGCCGCTGCACGACAGAGGGGTTCTTCAGAGGGTGAGACTGTCCAGAGTGGCAGGACAAGCATGGCAAGGCAGGGGTGATGTGGGAAGGAGGCATTTTAGATGATAGGACCACCTCAAGAATCTGAAGCAATTCAGTAGATGAAGATTCTGTTGAGATTTATGGAAAAAAGGAAACAGGGGCTTTTTGTTCTATATTCAGATTCATTTAGCCCTGACTTGGCTCTAACCACACACTAGACCCTGTGCTAGAAGCTTCTGTATCTACTGGTTGGTCCAAAGTGTAATCTTCAGAAGGGCCAGGACGTACCCTTGAAGGTACACAAGATGATCTTCTGTGTATATCCATGATCATAACCTTCATTTCTATTCTTTTTTTCCATTATAAACATGAAACACTAAGTTTGCTCACAGGAACTATTAGTACTACATATATAATTTTTCAATAGATGTTTTGGGGATTGTGTGCTCATTTTCTCTTAACTGATGGAAAAATAATTTTTTTAGGTACAGCCAGTTTTGATAAGTATACCGTATCTAATTACTTATTCAAAACAAAAAAATAAAGACAAGTGAAAAAATTGTTTAAAAAGTACAAAGTAAAAAGTACAAAGGTGACTCTTGTCACCTATTTCTGTGCTTTAGTAACTTCTGATAGATGACTGCTCTCCACTCCGCCACACAGTTTTTTTGGTGGTGGTGGGGAGTTTGGTTTTTTTTTTTTTTTTTTTCAGGGTCTTCCTGTAGCCTCAGCTGGCCCAGAACTCACTATGTCACTATGTAGACCAGGCTGGCCTCGAACTCACAGAGATCTACCTGCCTCTGCCTCCCGAGTGCTGGGATTAAAGGCGTGCGCCACCACGCTTGGCAATTTTGTTCTTTTTAATTGAGAAAAAATAGATACAGCATAAAAGTATATTAGCAGCAATTATAATGGAACCAATGCTTACTGAGTGCTTATAATATGCCAGATAGAACACTGAAAATTTAATAAGTACTTACTTTCTTTAAAAGACAGTATTTCAATTTATAATAAATTCCTTGGGGTCACAGAGAATAAATAGCAGAGAAAGTTGAGGATTAACCCCTAACATATTCCTGTTTCAATAAATGTTATTTATAAAATGGAAGTATACTTTAACTGAGAGGCTCCTCCCCAACCTAATACCATTCTCCTAGTAATAACCACAACAACCACTCATTAAAAACCCACTTTACATAGGCTCTGAGTTCAGGACTTTATGTATATCTTTAAGACTCACAAGGACTATAAAAGGGAGCTATGAAAATTATTTCCACTGTAACAATGAAAAAGCTGAGGACCTATGAGTTTAGATAATTTTTTTCATGACCACATGCTTATAAGAATCAAGATTTGCCAAGCATGGTAGCATAGGCCTTTAGTCCCAGCACTTGGGAGGCAGAGGAAAGGTAAATCTCTGTGAGATCAAGGCCAGCCTGGTCTATTCTACATAGTAAGTTCCAGGCCAGCCAGGGCTACAGGGGACCTTACCTCTGAAAAAAAAATAATAATAATAAGATTTAAAATCAGATCTGTGAATGTCAAAGCCCAAGCTAACTTACACTGATTCCCAAGTAGGAGGAAATGAATACAGTAAACACTGAATTTTATCTTAAGTCAGGGGCTCTCAACTATGCGCAGGCTCTGAAGTCTAGCATGGAGGGGTGAGAGGGCAGACTCATACTTACTGGATTTATTGTAAGCTGTTCACTCAGGGAGTTAGATTTGGAACAAAGAGCTGGCTCCCTGAAAGCAAATAAGACACATCCTGAAATCAACCAAAATCTAGAATCACAAAGCTAGATTAAACTAGCTTAAAAAAATTGTTTTTGAAAATGTTTGTCTCAGGGCTGGAGAGATGGCTCAGCAGTTAAGAGCACTGACTGCTCTTGCAGAGGACCTGGGTTCCATTCCCAGCACCCACATGGTGGTGCAGGCATTGACGACATAGGTGCACTTACCTACATGTAGGCACTCACACACATAAAATAAAAATAATAAATAAAATATTAAAAAAAAGAAAATGTTTTCCTCAATAGCTACATAACAGAATTTAAACTGTTCTTCAGTTGCATAATCTTTGAAAACCAGTGAAGCCAAACCACTTTCCATTCAGATGCACTGCACTTTCTCTGTGGGTCTGCATTTTGTACTCATGCCCTTTGCTTGGTTTTCTTCCAGAGTTTTGCAGGTGTTCTTACTTGAGTTAGCACTCTTATAGACTAAGACTAGTAATCCTTTGTCAGAAAAAACTGATGCAAGTACTTCTCCCATTTCCTCAATCCTGTTTTTTGTTTTTTGTTTTTGTTTTTACCAATTATTTCAAACTTATTGCAGTTTTCTGAATGCCTACAAGAGCCATCTCAAAGAACACTAAAAGAGTTTGATGTGGTTCTAGTATCTTACCCTGATTTGAAAGGCACCAATGTGAGTGGTGACACCACAGGATCAGCAAAGAGGCTGTCAGCAGCAGGTATGGGAGAAGGGGCTGAAGAATCCTGGGAACTAACACTGTGGCCATCAAAGCCGGAGTCTCTGGAAAACTTCACCTAGGGAAAGGGCCAGCACAGGCAGAAGAGAAGACAGACATGCTTACCCTTCTGTAGGTATCATTTTATTTACTCCTTATCATATTCATTGGCTATTCATTATAGGCAAATCAGAAAATGCAGAAAAATGGACAAAGGCAGTAATTATTTACAATTTATCATTATATTATCTGTATATGATATGAATGCATGTGTATCTTTTTATTTTAAACAATTTTTAATTAATTAATTTTTTGAGACAGGGTCTCTCTATAGCTCCAGCTGGCCTGAAACTTGACCAGACTGGCCTCCATCTCACAAAGATCCATCCGCCTCTGCCTCCTTAGTGCTGGGATTAAAGGTGTGCACTACCACACCCAGCCCTTAATTTATTTTTATTTTATGTGTATGAAGTGTTTTGCCTTGCATGCATGTAAGTATACCTGTGCACGTAATGTCCATAGAGGCCAGAAGAGGGTGTCAAGATCTCTCCAGCTCTCCAGGTCCCCAACATTGTTTTTTAAATGTGGAGGGGGAGTTGGGGGGGGTGCATGTTTGTGTGTTAAGTATGGAGGCCAGAGGACAACATGGAGCATCTTTCTGAGACATGCTGTTATCCTTTGAGACAAGGTCTCTTATTGGTTTGGAGCTCACTAATTAGGCTAGACTGGCTAACAAGGATCTGCTTGCCTCACTTAGTGCTGGAATTTCAAGCAAGCAACTGCCAGTATTTTCTTACTATTTATATTTTTAATTTTATGTGTACAAGTGTTTTGTCTGTATGTATGTGCACCTGTGTCATGCAAGTCCCATGAAGGCCAGAAGAGGGCATCTAATCCCCTGGAACTGGAGTTAAGGACAGTTGTTAGGTGCCATGTAGGTGCTGAGAACCCAACCCTGGTCCTCTGCAAGAGAAGCCAGTGCTCTTAACCACTGAGCCATCTCTCCAGTCCATAACCAGCATTTATATGTGGGTTCTAGAGGCTGAACTCAGGCCTCACGTTTGCAAGGCAAGCACTTTACCAACTCAATTATCTCTCTAGCCTACCATTTCTTGTTTTTGTTTGATTTGTTTTTTTGAGACAGGGTCTCCCTGTACCCTCCCACTCCCACCTGGCCTGAAACTCACCATGTAGACCATGCTAGCCCCAATTTCACAGAGATCAGTCTGTCTCTGCTTCCCAAGTACTAGGATTAAAACCATGTACCTCCATACCTGATCATTTCTAATTTTTTAACTTTTTGGGGGAATTTTTGTGAATTTCATACAGTAATTTTTTTTTTTTTGGTCTTTTTGAGACAGGGTCTCTCTGTAGCCCCAGCTGGCCTGGACTCACTATGTAGACCAGGCTGGCCATTAACTCCCAAGTGATAGGACTAAAGGCATGTGTCACCACACCTGGCTCATACAGTAATTCTTTATTAAAAAATATTTTATTTATTATTTTTATTTTAAGTGTATGAGTGTTATGCCTGCATGTAGGTAAGTGCACCTGTGTCACGCAATGCCCTCAGAGGACAGAAGAGGCTGTTAGGTCCCCTGGAACTGAAGTTACGGACAGTTGTTAGCTGCCAGGTGGGTGCTGGGATTCGAACCTGGGTCTTCTGCAAGAACAGTGTTCTTAATCGCTGAGCCATCTCTCCAGCCCCCATATAGTAATTCTTAATCATATTTAGCCCCCCTCTTCCCTAAATAGTCATACCCCACAGGACTTAATGCATTTTTTAATATATGTTAAGGCCTATCAAGTCAAGTCTGTGTACCGTGATGTCCCTTGGTGTGAGTTCAATCACTGGAGCCTGTTCAGCCTGTCTAGCATCACTCCTTTAAAAAAAAAAATCAACTCTCCCTCACCCAGCAGTGATCAGTGGCCAACAGTTCCTTGCCAAAATTATGGCCTCCTACCCATTTCCCGGATGTTTATTTTTCTCTTAGTTTTCATGGGTCTTATGCATGGTGTTACCATTTTTGTAAGTTTATATGAGTAAGTTCCCCGAGACCTGAACACTCTGTTTCTTTATGATCAATCATCAACACTGGCTCTTAGAATCTTTCCACCCTCATCTTCTGCAATGGCAGGTGACATTTAATATAGGAGTCCTGCCCAGGGACCTATACCCTGAAGTCTCTTATTCCTTACATTTTGGCCATTTCCACTGAAAGAAATCTGTATCTTCAGAATCTGATTTACAAGAACAACAGACCAGTTTCACTCACCCGCCTAACTTCCACCTCAAACACCAGGATTGAGTCTGTTGACTGAGTCCAGCCCATTACCCCTCCAGAGCCAGCAGCACAGGCTGAAGGGATAATAAGCAACCGCTTTCCTCCTTTCTTCATGCCCAGCAGTCCATCCTCCCAGCCCTATAGGAATCAAAGATAGGGAAAAGCGCATCAGACAAAAATCACTTTAGACAAAAATCACTTAAAATTTAGACAGTGTCTTCAGTGGTGAAGTTAAATTATCATACATATTGGTTATAATACCTAGAATAGGGTCTAGGGAGATGGCTCTGTGAAGTGCTTGCTATGCAAGTAGGAACACCTGAATTTGATTCTCAGCACCCACATAAAAAGCTCAATGTGGTGGTGCATGCTTGTAATCCCAGCACTGGGAAGGCAGAGACAGGTGATCCCTGGGGTTCACTAGTCAGTCAGCTTGGCCTAACTGGCAAGCCCTAGGTCCCAATGAGAGACTCTATCTCAATAAAAAAGATGGATGGCTCCTGAAATTGACCTCTGGCCTTCACACACATGTGCACATGAAGACACAAAAATATACACAGCATGCACACACACACACACACACACACACACACACACACACAAAAAAAAAAAGAAAATCTAGAATATAATTTCCAAATAAAAACTGGTATCAGGGGCTGGAGAGATGGCTCAGCAGTTAAAATCACTGATTGTTCTTGCAGAAGACCCAGGTTCAAATCCCAGCACCCACATGGCAGCTAACAACTGTCTGTAACTTCAGTTCTAGGGGATCTGACTGCCTCTTCTGTCCTCCACAGGCATTGTATGACACAGGTACACTTACCTACATGCAGACAATACACCCATACAAATAAAGAGATCTCCTGGAACTGGAGATACAGATAGTTGTTAGCCACCATGTGGGTGGTGGGAACTGAACCCAGGTTCTCTGCAAGAACAGCCAGTGCTCTTAACCACTGAGTCATCTCTCCAGCCCCCAACTTCCTTCTTCTCTTTTACTTGATTTTTTTTTTTTTTTTTTTTTTTTTTTTTTTTTTTATAAATGTCTCCCCATAGCCCCCGCTGTCCGTTTTGTCTTTTCTAAGACAGGTCTCCCCATAGGCCCAGCTGTCCTGGAACTTACTAGGTAGACCAGGCTCGCCTCGAACTCACAGAGATTCACCTGCCTTTGCCTCCCAAGTGCTGGGATTAAAGCCTGGCACCACTTCCTACTTTTCAACAAAGCATTTCCAGACTCTCAGATGATAAAGACAAGTTAGGGGAGGAAAAAAAAAAAAAAAAAAAGACAGGTTAGAGATGACATAAAATTTAATTTAAATTCCAAAACAGAACTTTACCTTAACAACTTTTCCTGATCCTAACTTCAGGCGAAGCGGCTTATCTTTATTGGCAGTAGAGTCGAAAACCTACCATTTGATAAAGTATATGAGGTCAGCCCCTTTCAAAAATAATAATAATCACTACCATAGTCAATTAACTGGAGCAGTATTTCTTGAATAGAAAATGGCAGATATAATGGAGACATAGATCTTAAAGAACCTAAAAAGATGAGCCTGCATCATGAGTAAAAGTGGTGATCACAATGAGTAGACGTCTCTGAACAATGATTCACCAGGTAGGGAAACAAACATTCCCACCACCAATGACTTGAAGCATGTTTTCATCTATAAAATATTTTCAAATAAATTTATCATTTGGTGCCGATATAGTCCTGCCAAGTAAGCAGAGGAGAATCACTAATCTCTATGCACAAATGGGGGAAAAAAAAATCAAGAGCTTAAAAGACTTGATGAAGGTCAAAGTGGGATACAATTGAGACTTGTAGTCACACAGTATCTTTCTGTCATAGCAGATTGCTTTTGAGGACGAAACACTATTAAAAACACCAACAAACCCATCATATTTACAGTGAGAAGGGTCTAAAAATAAGATCTATCCCTTAAAAGTATATTCAGGTTTAAAACTGGTATGGGAGGGCAAGACATACACATGAATACTACTTGGGGAACTGGTTTCCATTTGCCATTTGCTCTAAGTAGAAGAAAGAGAGAGGGGGAGGTACAGAGTAGAATTTGCACAGTAGCATTCCATGAACACATCCCCAAAGCCATTGAGGAAACTAATTCAGGTTTTCCAAAAGATTTCTATGTGTCAGTAGCAACAATTCACCCTCCTGGTGAACAGCCCTCATGCCACTTAACATTATAAAGAACTTGCAGAGTACATTCTCCTACCTGGCCCAGCACATGATTCTGAAGGAGCCAGCCTGTATAGCCTACTTCCAAAGAATCTCCAGCTTCTACAGCAGGACCCTCTGCCACAACAAGGTCCTGAGACAGTACTGCATTCATGGAAGAAGTGCTATTCCATTTGGCAATGCACACCTGCAGACACAAATCAGAGCAGTGTTAGTTCAGTTTAAGCTTAGTAAGCACACATTCCATTAATGCTAATACATTTTCTCAAACAGTTGCATTCATTAACAAGCAGATTACGAGTTTAGAAGTATACCAATCCAAAGTCAGTAATCTTGCCCAGGAATCAAGGTGCCTAAGAATATAGCTTTAGAGTCAGAATGTCTGGGTACAGATCCAAGGACTGCCAGTTCTTAACTCTGACCTTAGTCAAATAACTTAATATCCATGTACCTACAAGTTCTCACTTGAAAAAATGAAGAAAAAAGCTTTGCAAATCTTATAAAGCTGTTATGAAAATTAAGTAGGCTAATACAGAGTGCTAAGTAATGCATCTAGGAAATAACAGGGGCTCTGCTATCAAATACCTCTCAAGACCCAAATTCCTACTACCATCACCTCAGTGATTAGATTTTAATACTATGAATTCTGGAGGGGCAGGTCCATTCAAACCACAGCAAACAACATTTGTATTACAAAATATACTTCTAAGTAATTTTTTATGAGGTAGAAAGATGAAATACACAAAATGCAGAACTCTTTTTTAAAAAATATGTTATGTGTATGCATGTATTGCCTGCATGTAGGTAAGTACACCCTTGTCATTCAATGCCCATGGAGGACAGAAGAGGCTCTCAGATCCCCTGGAACTGGAGTTACAGACAGTTGTTAGCTTACAAGTGGGTGCTGGGATTTGAACCCAGATCTTCTGAAAGAACAGTCAGTGTTCTTAACCACTGAGCTATCTCTCCAGCCCCAAAACATAGAACTCTTAAAGGGATATACATAAGTGTTACTAAGTTAATAAGTGTTACTTTGGATAGTAAAGCTATAATTTTGTGCATGTGTATTGTGTATGTGTCTGCATGTTGGTGTGTGAGGTACACATGTATGCTCAAGTACATAATCTTATGTGTGTGCACATGTATGAAGGCTAAGGGACTACCTTAAGTGTTGTTCCTCAGGAATTGTCTACCTCGTATTTTGAGAGGGGTCCTTCACTGGCTGAGAGCTCTCCAATTAAGCTATGCTGGCAGCCCAGAGAGCCCCAGGGATCTACCAGTTTGCCTCCTTAGTGTTGGGATTACAAGTACACACCACCACCACTCTCAGCTTTTCTTATTTTTACCTGAGTTCTGGGGATCAAATTCAGGTCCTTATGCTTGCATGGCAAGCACTTTACCAGCTGAAAACTCTCCCTCACTCTTGAATTATTTTTTTTAAATGTATTTCTACATTTTCTCCAATGAATATATGAAAACTTTAAAAAATCCTTTCACAACACTATTTTTAAAAATTTCATGTATCTTTAAAATAATTGTGTAGCTAAAACAGCGGGCTTGAGTCAGGTTTGGTGGTGCCTGCTTTTAAACCCAGAACTCAGGAGGCAGAGACCGGTGGATCTCAGTGAGATCAAGGGCAGCCGGTCTACATAGTGAGTTCCAGGCCAGCTGGGGCTACAGGGAGACCCTGTCTCAAAAAGACTTTAAAAAGGGGGCTGGAGAGATGGCTCAGTGGTTAAGAGCACTGACTGCTCTTGCAGAAGACCCAGGTTCGAATCCCAGCACCCACATGGCGGCTAACAACTGTCTGGAACTCCAGTTCCAGGGGATCTGACAGCCTCTTCTGTCCTCTGCAGGCATTGCATGACACAGGTACATTTATATACATGCGGGCAATACACACATACACATAAAATATAAAAGATTTTTAAAAAACAATGGGCTTTTATGCATATGTATATATGTGTGGTGTTTTTACATATGTATATATGTGTGTGTTCACATGTGTGCGGCTACATGGGTGTGTAGGTACATGCATGCAGAGGACAGAGGCTGACATCAGATGTCTTCCTTGATTGCTCTCCACTTTATTTACTGAGGCAGGGACCCTCGCTGAACCTGGAGCTCTCAGATTCCGCTAGTTTAGGTAGTCAGTTTGCCCCCAGAGATTTGTCTCCACCATGCCTGCCCAGCATTTACATGAGTGCTGGGGATACAAACTCCAGTTCTCACACTTGCACAACAACAAGCACTTTAACCACTGAGCCATCCTCCCCAGTCCAGCAAAAAGTATTTTAATCAAACAAGCTTTTATTTAGTCAGTTTTCTCTTTAAATAATTCATCAGGCAATTTCAGTAAGAATTTCTATTCTTTTCCTGAAAACAAAATGCAGCAGTTATGGCTTTGCTATGCATTTCTTAAAATGAAGGGAGACTCCCCAACAAGTGCTCTGGCTTTGCACAGGAAAGAATAAGAAGACTCACCTGTTTACTGAACTCCACAGCAGCCTTCTCTGACTCAAACATGATGGACCAGTTTTGCCTTTGGTCATCATAAAAGGTGCTGTAGTTTTGGGGCCGGACCTGGGAAAAGAAAAAATGTTTGGGTGACTCAAGCACAGAAGCATAGTGGGCAAATCTGACTGCCTCAACTCACAGAGAAGGACCTGATTTGGGTGGACTCAAGAGAGGTATCAGGAACCTCTCTTCTTCCTTCCCTCCCTCCATCCATTAGCCCACCTTTCCTAAAGGCATCCAAGAGACCTTTCTGAAAGGTGGTTTACTGATACCCAGGCCTGAATAGAGGATTGCATTTGTGTTAGGTACATGCAGGCCCATCTCTCCTGCAAACCTATCACAAAGGGGCTAAAGATTTCAATATGGGGGAACCTTACCGTTAGCTCAAAGTTTGGATGAATCTTAGCAACAGTAACTGGCTGCTGCTGGCTGATATAAAGAAGAATCCTATACTGTATTCAAACAAAATGGGCAGAAAAAGAAAAGAGATGTTAAAGGGCAACACAGGATCAGCAGTAAGATATCAGGCTGTGCTTCACACGGCAAGAAACTCAAAACTGTTCACTTCTACGCTGTCATTTCACTGCCCACTTCACTGTTTCTCTCTTGACCTCACTCGGTAACTGTGGTTAGGAACACCTTTATTTTGTTGGCATTCCCATCCACATGAAAGGCAACTAAGAGACAGTGCCTGAGTACTTTAAAGAAAATACAAGACAGATGCGGAGGTACATGCCTGTGATACCAGCACTTCAGAGGCTGAGGCAGGAGGCCTGTCATGAATTTGAGGTTAGCGTGGGTTCCATAATGAAACTCTGTCTCAAAAAAAAAGCAGAAAACGGGCTGAAGAGGTGGCTCAGCAGTTAAAAGCACTGACTGTTCTTGCAGAGGACCTGGGTTTGGTTCCCAGAACCCACATGGTGGCTAATAATTGTCCATAACGTCCATTTCAGGGGATCCAATGCCCTCTTCTCACCTCCACAGGCATTGTACAACATTAAAAACAAAAACAAAAAACGTTTTCTATTTGAGGAAAAACATGCTAAATCACATGGATCTTCAACCAGCTTGAGAAAACCAATGGTTGTCACACCCTAGATTTCTCCCACATGCCTCTTCCTATATCAACAATCCCTCCCTACCCTTAGCTAACCACTGTTTTGACTCTATCCCTCATCAATTTCAGCAGTTAAGTTTACATAATGGAATTGCAGATAGTGAATTTGACTTGCTTCTTTCATTTAACATTAAGACTAAGTCTTGTGACTTCATTTACCTGTACTCTACCCATTCTGCTGTTTGAAGCTATCATGAACAGCGTATCTGGAACCTTCTCCGTGTCTTCTGGAGGGCAGGGACATTTCTTTCAACCTAACAAACTGCCTTCAGTGGTTCTTGTACCATGAATCTGCTGACAATGGATTGTCTCAGCTTTTGTGTCTGAAAATTTATTTTGCCTTCATTTTTAAGGGTATTTTTTTCTTGCTATAGGAGTCCACATGGGGGCTTAGAAACACAGCACAGGGCTAGAGAATGCACTTCTTCTGGAGGGCAGGGACATTTCTTTCAACCTAACAAACTGCCTTCAGTGGTTCTTGTACCATGAATCTGCTGACAATGGATTGTCTCAGCTTTTGTGTCTGAAAATTTATTTTGCCTTCATTTTTAAGGGTATTTTTTTCTTGCTATAGGAGTCCACATGGGGGCTTAGAAACACAGCACAGGGCTAGAGAATGCACTTAGCAGAGCACTAATAATAATAATAATAATAATAATAATAATACACAGGACTCTAAGAAAGTGTTACAGCCACCCCAGCTCTCAGCAGCCATTCACAAGATAAGTTCTTCCACAAGCAAAAGGGTTTCAACTTAGTGAGGCTGAGATGATCATTGGTCTCTTTAAGCAATAAAGTAATTTTAGTGAATTAAGGTATATATGTTTTCTTAGACAATGTATAACGAGAGTACATATGTAATAGATTACATATATAAACATAAAGATTACGTAAACATAGCCTTTACATAGGTTATATTCACGTGACTCACTTTGTTGCAACATTTGCTTTATTGCAGTGGTCTAGAACCAAACTTCAAGATCTCTGAAGTATGTGTTTATATTCAAAAGAACTGAAAGTGGGAACGCAAACATACACTTATCAATGTCCACTACCCCAATATAAACAAGGTCTCAAGATGGAAACAATGTTCATCGACTGAATTAAATGTTTATCTACTGAAGAATAGATAAACAAAATATGGTGTGTATACACACACAGTGGAATATTATTCATTCAAGAAAAGTACTGATAAATTGGTAGATACTACAACATAAATGAACATTGAGGTATTGGGCTAATAAAGGAAGCCAATCACAAAAATCAAATATTATGACTCCACTTATGTGAGGTATCTAGAATAGGCAAGTTCATAGAAATCATGAATTAGAGGCAAAGTAGGAATAAGGGAAAGGGCAATGGGGTCATTGCTAAATGGCTAGTTTCCTTTTGGTATTATGGAAAAGATGAGAATAGTGGTGATAGGTACTTAATACTTGGAATGTAATTAAAGCCACTAGATTGTGTACTTAAAAGGTTAAACTGTATATAAAATACATTCAGTCTCTATGAGCATGGATTCTACTTCTGTGCATTTAACCAACTGTGGATTAAAAGTATTGGGGGGGGGTAGAATTGTGTGCTGAACATATACAGACTTTTTTCTTATAGTCTATAAATACTATAACAATTATTTACATAGTATTTACATCATATTAGTATAAGTAATCTAGAAATGATTTAAAGTATATGGGAGGCTGTGCATGCGTTATGTGGAAGTATAGTACTATGCCATTTTATATAAGGAACTTGAGCATCCACAGATTTTCCTATCTGTGGGGAAGGAGAGGATCCTAGAACTGATCTCCCATAGACCAAGAAATGGCTCCGTGTGTGTGTGTGTGTGTGTGTGTGTGTGTGTGTGTGTGTGTATACACTATACAATGATTAAACAATCAAACCATCCAAATACTTAAAATTCACTCTCAGCAATTGGCGGGGGGGTTGTGAGAACTCATACATGATTTTAACATGGGAAATTATTTTCTTCTTCATGTTAAACAAACTAAGAGGCTGACTACCTCAGTTCAATTATTGACTGGGTTGGTTGTAGGAGGAATAGACATTTATTAAGAGTCAGAAAATTGAGCTGGGAGTAGTGGCACATGCCTTTAATCCTAGCACTTGGGAGGAAGAGGAAGGAGGATCTCTGTGAGTTACAGGCCAGCCTGGTCTACATAGCGAGTTCCAGGCCAGCTGGGGCTACAGAGAGACCCTGTTTCAAAAAAAAAAAGTCAGCCAACCTCTGAGTTGCCCTGATTCTTAGGCATGATTGTCTCAGGCTTTTGATTGAAAGCCCAGGTCTCTAATTCCTTAGTTCTTAAAGTTTTATACAGCAGAGACATTGAGCTAAGTGCTTTAGTCTCTTCCCCATGAGGTTCAAAATCTAGCAAGAAGGCAGTTGCTACTTGTTACAGGACCTGTCCCTAAAGAAATGTCTCTCCTGTGCACCATGAGGTCCAAGAGGTTTCCTCTGAATTTCTGACATAGTTCCTAGACTTCCACATCATCCCTGAATTCAGCAAATGACCCACAGGAGAAAACCAATCTAGTGTTAGGAGACTCTGAAACTCTCCAGTTTTGTCATTTCTACTTCTCTGGTAGTCCCTCTGCTCTGTCATAGCTGCTGCCTTATCCACACCTAAAATCAGCAAAACACTCAAGGGAAAGAACGGTCGTCTCATTGGTGCTTCTTTCTCTGAAATTTTAGTTCATCTTTTCATCATTTCTATTGCTCTCTACTGAATTTGTTTCACAATGAACCTTAAAATATAATTACTGCAATTTATCTGCTTCTTTATAATTGCTTCTCCAACCTACACCCTATCTGGTAGTCAAGCATGGTGGTCTCAAAACTAGAGTTCTAAAGTCCAAATGATAATATCTAATGGATTAATAGGCCCACATAACAGCCATCAGGGACTTCTAATATATAAATCAAGAGACAGCCAGGTATCATTTGCTTCCTGATAGGAGGATCAAAGATTTAAGGGACACAGCAACCAACACAATGTATTGCCTCATTAGATATTGATTCAAACAGATGTATAAAAAGAAAAACAACAGAGAAAGGAAATTGAACACTAACAGGTAGTGACAAAGATTAAGATATTATTGCTGGGGCTGGAGATATGGCTCAGTGGTTAAGAACACTGGCTGTTCTTGCAGAAGACCCAGGTTCGAATCCCAGCACCCACATGGCATCTAACAACTGTCTGTAACTCCAGTTCCAGAGGATCTGACAGCCTCTTCTGTCCTCTGCCGGCATTGCATGACATGGGTGCACTTACCTACACTCAGGCGATAGACACATATACATAAAAATAAAAATTTTTTTAAAAAAGATATTATTGCTTTGGGGGCTGGAGAGATGGCTCAACAGTTAAGAGCACTGACTGCTCTTGCAGAAGACCTGGGTTTGATTCCCAGCACCCACATGGCAGATAACAACCATCTGTCACTCTAGCTCCAGGGGATCTGACACCCTCTTCTGAACTCTGCAGGCATTGTAGGTAGGACATGGATGCACTTATGTGCACGCAGGCAATACACTCAGACACATAAAATAGAAAATAATAAATATGTTTTTAAATAGGTATTATTGCTTTTAAGGTGTGACAATGGCATGAGAGTTTTGTTTTTAAATATTAGAGTTATATAGTAAAGTATTTACAGCTGAAATTTTATGTTGGAGATTTGTTGAAAATAATCTGAGTGGGAGAAGAGGTGAGTGTGGGGTCATGAATGGAAGATTAGTAACTGTTTGAGCTTGGTAATGAATACCTGTGCACTTAATATTCAAGTTTTGCTTTTTAATGTGTGTTTCAAGTTTCTTATAACTAAGTTTTTTGTTTGTTTTACAGTGCTGTCCATTATTATATTAGTTACCATGAGCTAATAATTTTTTCTCTGCTGAGAGTCTCAGAGGAGCTGGAACCTCATGTTCTTTGGACCTCTGAAATGCTAAAATTTCTTACATTTATCTTAACAATGCCAAATACATTGTAGAGCAGTATTTGAAGCTGGACACAACCCACTCAAGGAAGTCAACCTCTGATATTTTAACTACATCTACTCCCCTAACCCCCACACACTAACTAATGTACTGTGATCAATTGCTCAGTCTTATTCTCAAACTTCCAAAGGATAAACATTGGTCACTAACACCAGCATGAAGGACATAATGTGCTAAGCAGTACAATGTTCACTCTCTATACAACAGAATGTTCTTGATAAATAGTTTAAAGTTTTCCAGTTCTTACATCAAGACCACATCACAAAGGAGATTTCTAACGTAAATATTCTGAATGGTTGCATTTGTTTTAATGTATAACAGTAAGCAAACTGTGGCCACTTACTGTGTCCTAATATTCCACGTTCAGAGTCAGCATTAGCAATCACTCTAGACCTCTGAAACATGAGACACTCAGCAAGCAGAAAAAGAACCAGATCCCTGATATTATAATACTTGGGATGCCTGTTTATGCATCAGATATGGGAAGTCTCACCTCTCTGACTGTGTGGTTCCCCAGAACAGCAGCTCCAAATTTGCCCTGCTTCACATATTGACTGTTTATGCTATTGAAGCAAGAAAACAACAGGTATCAGTACACCTCTGAACTATGCAGAGCCAGCTTTCTTTTCTAGCATATCTAGTCATTTAGCCTCTAGAAAAAGACAGAGATAAGCAGTATTTAATCTTTTTATTTTTTATTTATTCATTCATTTATTTTTTGAGACAAGGTCTCACTATGTAGCTCTAACTGGCCTCAAACTCACAGAGATCCACCTGCCTCTGCCTCTGAAGTGCTGGGACTAAAGGCCCACACTTTACAACATCCTTATTCTTTAAATATCTATTATTCACAATATCTCAAGGGTGTAGCTTTCTCTGAGAACTTAAAAAGGTAGCACTTGAGGGTACAAACACTTAAACAGAGTAGACATGATGGCTCTGCAAGTTTTACATGGAGAAATCACCAACAGAGATGTTAAGTGCTACTTCTGCTTCATCAGAGGTAGGGCTATGTAACTAGCCTGTACTGAACACAGGCTTTGGAGAAATGACAGGAGCTGAACAGTGGTCCTTTCCTTCCCTTCCAACTCAGAAAGCTTTCTCTCTCAGCTACTCACTATCGGTATGCGTGAACTGCAGTTGCAACCAGCACTGAGGACGTGCCGGTGGTAGTTGGTGCTGGTTTTGGTGCTGTCTGGTTTCCTGAAGATGAAGAAAACAAAGGTGTTATTCATTTTTTAATTTCTAACCTCTAAACTAGCCTCAAAATTCTTTTTTACACTTTACAGTTAGCATTCTAACACTTTCCTTACCATTATCCTCATGTGATTCACAAAGTAGCTCCATGATCTTGCCTGGTGGTGAGGAAACAGGCTCTAAGTGTGGATGCCTTTTACATAATGACAGTAGCAAGACTAGGACTAGACCGACTCCAGCTCTCATGCCACACACCAGAAACAAATGTTCTGGGCTGGACAAGAGCACTGTCTAGAAAGCAGGGCCCACTCCAGCTTTTTTTTCCTCCCTCCAGTATTCTGAGAGTTAGGCTATATCAAAATAGCGCTCTTCTCTAACTTCTGGTGCAGGAACTTTAGAATGGTAGTGTGAGTGAAAGTTCCTGGAAAGAGCCACATCTTACACCGAACCTTCTGTAAGTGTGATTAACTGATCAGAACTTCAGTGATTGTGGAGAGGTTGGAATGTTGCAGGTCTAGGGTCTAATTACAACTTATCCTGGGCTGTCTATCTTCAGCCCACTTAATAGGGCCATTCCTTGTGCACTCTTGTGTTTGACCTAACACCCTTGGGATGACCAGGTAAAACCTTTTGGAATGTATTAACTAAACAGACCACCAGTTTCTACCAACCATAAAGCTAAGAATGTCATCAGATAGCATCTGAGGCCCAAAGCAGACACCCCACCCCACCCCCTTTTGCTTTAACTCACCTACCAAATGTTTCCACCAATGTATTTGAAAAGTGCCTTGGTTTATGACTTTCTTTGTTCTATTACCATCAAACTTCATCAAACTGTTACCAGCACATCAGAGCATGGAATCTGAGGTGACCTGAATCCTTGTTCCCAGGCTATGATCACTCATGTTGGGCTTCAGAATAAACTATCTCTTATCTTCTTTGAGGTAAGAATCGTGGTTTTTGCCTTTAAAATAGTTAAATTAGACCTATTACGTAAATCCAACAAGAACACTAAAGGGCACTTTAAAAATAGGGTACTTGCATTTTTTTTGTTGTTGTTTTGGGTTTGGTTTTGTCTACCTATGTATTTGGGACAGGGTCCCATTTCTGTAATCCAGGCTGGCTTGAAACTGCTTTGTAGTTCAGTCTTGCCTGGAACTGACAATGCTCCTCCCTCAATTTCCTGAGTGCTGAGGTTACAGGCCTGCAGCATCACATCCAGTGGTGAAAAACACATTCACACTCTCTAGATGAACACACTGATAGAATGTGGTGCTACCTGATACCACAATTGCAAATGAAGTCAGTTAAGAAGGTTTAAGTTTGCTGTAATTTTGTCTTTCAACATTGCTACTGATAGAGCCAGCCACCAAAAAAACAAAGTGATCAACAGATTAGAGGTTATAACTTTAGCTCCACTCATCAATATCCAGGAAAGGTGGGCCACAGATCAGGCTGTATAAAAACTCTTGAACCCACTACTTGTCCATCTGGTGAGTCTAGTGAGCCTATGCAGGGGTGCCAACAATACAGCAGACAGTAGCAGGGATATCAGAGTACAAGGGCTCTACTGGGGGGAGGGCGGCTATGGGAGGGTGCCATCTGGGAAGTGGGTGTATAGTTGAATAAGATGGTTTGGGATGTTCTGTGTGATATACACATACACACACACAAGAAAAAATCAACAAATTTAAAAAATATATATTATATTTGAGGAAGTATGGAAATTTATGTCATGTTAATTAGTAGAGGTGATAAACATTACCATTGAAATCTACCTGATGACTTTATAGACATACACAGGTGCCAAGGATCCCAGTGCAACTGATTATGACTAGTAATAATCAGATACATACAGATTAGAGATGTATGCGCCAACATCTCAGTGTTAGTAGCAAAAACAATGAGTCTTTCTGCAAGGAACAATATATTCTAAAATGAAATGGAGATCTTTTTTAAAGGTTAAAAACTCAATTTTATGTCTTACAGGGCTTATACTGAGTTCAATATTATATAGCTGTATTAATTCAGCTGTGAACCTAGAAACTTACAGCCACTTGTGAGGAGATGTACTCTTGGAGTATGTTACTGAATATGTTAAAGCTATAATGAAATGCTTCTTCTAATCATGTAGTTATTAAAAAATTTAAAAACCAAAACAAAACAAAAAAAAAAACTCTTGAACCACAAGATACGAAGAGCTTCCAGGCTGTAGAACATATGGAAGTGCTGGGAGGGCAGTGTACCCAGAGAGTGCAGAAGCCTCTTGACCTCACTCATCTTCCCCTATTCATCTATTCATACAGCTGTTCATCTGTATCTTTTTAAAATCTTTTATAGCAAACCAGAAAACTTTTTTTTAAAAAGCTACCAGTCAGGTGAGGTGGTGCATACCTTTAATCCTAGCATTTGGGAGGCAGAGGCAAGTGGATCTCTGTGAGTTCAAGGCCAGTTTGCTCTATATAGCAAATTCCAGGCCAGCCAGAGCTACATAGTGAGACCCTGTCTCAAAAAGACAAAAACAACAAAAAAAGCTACCCTGAGTTCTACGGAAAATTCCAGTCAATTAACTGATCCCAAGGGAGGGTGTCAAGGATCCCTCCCTCACCTTGGTTTATACCTGGTCAGTCAGAAGTACAGGTGGCTGACTTGTGATTTGCTTCTGATTAATAAGTGAAGAACTATGGAAAAAAGCTCTCAATCTGAGGGATTTGACATTATGTTTAGGTAGATAACTTTAGAATTAAATTGAATTATAGGATACTCAATTGGTATCAACTGGAGAATTGCTTAGAGTAGGAGGAAAACCCTGCATACAACTAGGGTCACAGAAGTATGCTGGGTGAGCAGAGTCCAGAGGAAAGAACAGGAGTAGTCTGCGTCTTCAGTTTACATGGCCATACATGAGAGGTCTGCTACAACCACTCTCTAAATAGCCCTGTAAATACCCTCAGTGCCAACCAGCACTGTACCTACCACATAAAAGGCACTCAACACTTCATCCTTCATTTAATTTAATTTAATTTAATTTAATTTGATGACCCTCACCACCTGCTCTTCTCAGGGCTATGGCCATCAATCACTTTCTCCTCTTCAGCCTCTTGTCCCAAAACAGCAAAATGTAGAGAAAGGAATAAAACTGTGGAGTCAGTTATATTAGGGTTCAAATCCCAATTCTGCTACTACCTTCAACTTTGATCAAATCCCTGAACTTCTTGAAGCCTCCAAAGACTGGTCATGTCACCAACTTCACAATGTTGCTCTGAGAATGAAAAGCACCCAAGACACACAGCAGGCATTCTGGAGCTACTAGCCTCTCATCCTCTCCCTTTTTTCAGTTGGTGTTCATTTACCAAATGATTCCTGTGTCCTTCAAGATGCTGGCACAGGACTTAACAGAGCACTCGACAGGATGCACTTAGAGTGCCCTTGCAGTTTTAGAGACAAAGGGCAGAAGAACTTGTCTGCCATCTTTCCTATCAGCTGCTAGAACTCAGGATCTGAGCGCTTCGAAAGGCAACAACCACTGGAGATGAGCTTAGGCTGACTGGAGGAGGATGGGCAACTCGGCATGTGTATTAGTTACTTTATGTGCTGCTGTAACAAAATGCCTGACAAAAGCACCTTAAGGAAGGGTTTATTTTGGCTCATGGTTTGAGTATACAGTCCACCATGGTGGAGGAGTAGGAGTAGGAGTAGGAGCTTTGAGGAGGCTGGTCATTTTGCAGTTGCAGTCAGGAAGCAGAGAGCAAGGAATGCTGGTGCTCTGTTCACCTTTTCCTTTTCATTCAGGCCTGGATCCTAGTCCACAGGATGGTGCCACTCACATTTAGTGTGGGCCCTCCTATCTCAGTTAACCCAATCTAGGAAATCCCTCACAGATATGCCCAGCATCTGTCTCCTAGGTGATTCGAGAGCCTATCAGGTTGGCAATATTAACCATCACAACATGTCACTTCTGGAAGGTCACTGGCCATTTCAATCAACCTGTTAAGACACAATCCTAATGCCTCTTAACTTACCTGTTGCTGCTGTTCCGTGGCCTTTCTTAGGCTGCTTTGGGGCTGTGTACTGGAAGAATTCATTTCCATGGCCTGTAGTTGCCTGATCCAGTCCAAAAAGAGAGGCCAATCTGGCACTGTTAATAGAAAATAAAAATAGAATTTCATTTGGCATATCCCAAACTTGGAATTACTATAAAAGTTGCTCACCTGAAATTTTAAACAAGTATCTCTTTGACTGTAAATCTCACCATTCAATACCACAATAGCAATTAAAGCTCTCTGAAATCAATATTGTGTGTGTAACCCAAGCTCCATTTGATTTTACTTCCAGTATTTCTCAAACGCATTCACTGTTCCCCCTCTTCACTGCTACTTCTTCAATTTATGCTGCCATCACCTCTGTCTAGTATTCATTACTTCAACAAGCTCCTGATTCACCTCTCTGCCTATGTTACCTAGTTCATTCGTTCATTCCTTCTTTCCTTCCTTTCTTCCCTCCCTCCCTTTCGCTCTCTTTCTTTTCTCTCCCTCTCTTCTCTCTTCTCTCTCTCTCTCTCTCTCTCTCTCTCTCTCTCTCTCTCTCTCTCTCTCCAGTACTGGGGATTGAGTCTAGGGTCTTGTACATGCTAAGCAAGTACTCTATCACTGAGCTATATCCATTTTGGGGAGACAGGGTCTCACTACATAGCACTAGCTCGTATGGAATGCACTGTTGAGCAGGCTATCCTCAAACTCACAGAGATCTTCCTGCCTTTGCCTCCTGAGTGTTGGGATTAAAGGTGTGTGCGAATATGCCTGGCCCAGTGATTATTCTTGATGACTCCTCAATATTAGCAAGATAAAAATCCAAACTCGGGGAGGGTGCTGGAGAGATGGCTCAGTGGTTAAGAGCACTGGATGCTCTTTCAGAGGACTGGGGTTTAGTTCCCAGCACCCACATAGTGGCTAATAACTGTTGATAACTCAGTTCCAGGGGATCTGATGCCCTCTTCTGATCTCCATGGGCACTGCATGAATGTGATGCACTTACATACATGTAGGCAAAACACTCAAACACATAAACTAAAAATAAATTTAAAAATTTTTTTAATCCAAACTCAGGCTAGTGAAATGGCTCAGCAAGTAAAGGTACTTGTCACCAAGCCTGATGACCTGAGTTCAATCCCTGGGACCCAAATGGTGTAAGGAGAGAACTGACTCCTAGAAGTTGCCCACTGACCACCACATATGTATGTGGTGCATGTGTGTCGTCATTCATGTGTGCGTGTGGGCTTGCATGTGCACACACACATAGATACACAATAATAATAATTAATAATAATAAATGTAGAAGTTTTAGAAGTTCAAACTCCCCAAGATAACTTTAGAAGGCCCTTCAAGGTCTCGTCTCTCCTTATTCCCCCAGCTTTGTGCTTGGCCACTCATCACCTCCAACTGTATGTTACAGCTCCTCTAAGGAGCTTTTCATCTCTTACACAAAGCGAGAGATCATTTTTATGGAGGAGGTATGATGCTGGGGATTGAACCCAGGGCCTCATGGGCAACAGGCAAGGACTGGATCACTAAGCCATATCTCTAGTCCAAAGTAAGACATTTTTAATCTCTAGCCTTTGGACAGGCTATTCCTTTTGCCTGAAACATTCTTCCTGCTCCTGCTGTTCCAGGAAGTTCCCCTAATCTAAGTTAGAAGATTTTCCTAAAGCTCAAGAAATAATGTGTCAATCCAGGTGTGGTTGTGCATGCCTTTAATCTCAGCACTCAGGAGGTAGGCAGAGGCAGGCAGATCTCTGTGAGTTTCATTCTAGTCTGGTCTACAAGTAGGTTCCAAACCATCCAGTGCTACATAGTAAGACCCGATCTCAAAAAAGAGAGAGAGAGAGAGAGAGAGAGAGAGAGAGAGAGAGAGAGCAGACACTATACTAAATGCTAGGTATACATGGGTACACACATAAATAATAATAAATGTAAAAGTTTTAAAAGCCCAAATTCTACAAGATGTATTCTATTTTTCAGGGAGTTTATAGTCAAATGAGGGTATTAGATATTAAGTAACAAAATTACAAATTATGAGATATACAAAGGGTCAGCACTGTATTCCACTAAATGAGCTACATCTCTAGCCCTAAATTTCTTTTTTTTTTATTAATTACTCAGTCTGTTGTATTCTGTTTTAGCAACACAAATTAACAATAATTAACTCTAAGTCCAGTCTAGCTCTGAGCTCCTCTTCTCCAGAGGAATTCTTAGTTGGGGTGTGTAACCCTGAAATTTTTAATAACTCAACTCTTTTGACTTTTAAAAATATAATTTATAGCCAGGTGTGGTGGCGCATGCCTTTAATCCTGGCACTTGGGAGGCAGAGGCAGGCGGATCTTTGTGAATTCAAGGCCAGCCTGGTCTACATAGTGAGTTCCAAGACAGTTGGGGCTACAGGGAGACCCTGTCTCAAAAAGACCAAAAATAATATA